TTTCATGGACGATCCAAGCACATTGACATTCGGTTTCACAAGATCCGAGAACTAGTAGCTGAGAAAGAAGTAGTAATCGAATATCTTCCAACTGAAGAACAAGTTGCAGATATTTTTACAAAGCCACTGAAAACTGAGTTATTTTACAAGTTGAAGAAAATGCTTGGAATGATAGAAACTTGATTTAAGGGAGGCAATGTCAGAAATAAATCAAGTATATGCACCGCATCCTTTTATTGGACCATATAATACCTCATCTGAAAGCTTCCAATTCTCATTGGTTTATTAGGAGGCAACAAAGTTGTAGGCACCGTTTACGGAAAAGCTCAAAACTGAAAAGTTGCTGACAAATCACGTGGTGTAGCTTTCTTTGTAGTTAGGAAACATTTACTATTATTATATTATAATTGTAGCCTATAAAAAAGGGCAACTCTAAAATGCACTGAAATGCACAAGTTTGTTAAGTGAATGAAATATCAAACTCTTCTTCTGTTTCTTACTTTGTATGAGTGTCTTTAGAAAATATTAATCCCACTGATATCATGTTATGCTTTTGGTGTGTCATTTTAATTGGTTCTCACAACAGTTATATAATTCTTTTAACCAACTCAATCTAACTTGGGGACCACAACATTATCTCAGCTTAGATGTAGCACTTGCCAATCCATGCCTAATAGGTTGAAGATCATATCCCGAGTCGCTTCATAGTATAGGACTTCGTTCAAACATAATTATCTCACTATATGCAGATGTAGCAGCGTAGACACATAATTTAGTATGACGTTTATCTCACCAACAAGGAGATGAAAAGAGTTTGTCTCTTTATGTCATCTCTCAACGAATGTCAATATCAATCCTTTATCGGCATAACAGTAAGAAATATTGCACAGAGGCACCAAACTAGAATTCATACAAAATTTTGAACAACCAAATGACATGTTCTAAATTTGTTTAATTTTTTTCCATGTAAGAACAAGTAGATTTTCTCTTAGTACTAAACAAAACAATTAGATATAAAGTTCAAATAACTCATCAACCATTAAAATTAAAAAAATAAAATAAAATTCAACTACTTAACTAACATGACCTTACAATAACACAAATGCAACATGATGAATATAGCTCGTCAATAATAATATATCATTACTTCATGTTATTATTGAACAACATCATCTCTCCTCAATAAAATTCTCTTACTCCTCATGAAAATCAAAATAACTTAATGTTTCAACTTTTTCAAGAAGATATCTTTCACCAGCAGATGTTATAAGTCTCATTTTGCCTTAACATTGTGAAAAACTTAGTCAGATATGTTAATAAACTTCTCATTCTTATAATTTTTATAACAAACAAATTCATAACAAATTAAAACCAATACAAGTAAAAAGTAACTAATTTAAAAAGAATAAATAAACAAAACTATAACACAAATAAATAAGTAAAATTAAAAAAATATATAAATACTTACGTACGGTTAAAAAGTTTTATCAATCGAAATCCAATTAATAAATTTGATAATCCTTTAATCAAATTTCAAAATTTCATAAAATCTATTTCGAAATTCCCTCCTATTTCTCCAAATCTATAACCCTACTCCTATATCCACAATTTCTAAGTTCATATACACTGTTCTAATAATTTAAAATGAAATGTAAACGAAGATATCAAAACAAATATATACCTTGTAATCTTGGAGTGAATGAATCTGTAGTGTAGACGTGTATGAACAAACGCTAGTGTTATTAAGTAACTCACAAGAGCATCAACAAAGTAAGTTGTGGTGCTGGGATTGGAGAACAAAATGGAGCTAGGAGTTGCGATGATAAGTTAAAGAAATGTGAGAGTAAAAGTAGGTGAATGGGGTTATTATAGGAAAGAGAATTTTTTTTACAAGGATAGTTTTGGCATTACGAGTTTAGAGTTACAGGGAGAATTTTAAGAGGTGCTTGGAGAAGCCCCCGCATTTCCTGGTTCAATTCGATTCAAAATTTCAATTTGCGAAGATCTTCTTCGATGGATCGCCGGAAAAGCAGCAGGAAAACGACGGCGTCGAAAGCCTCAACCGTGGAAGCGTCACCTTCAATCTCAGTTTCTGAGGCTTTTATAGTAAACGCGTTGTGCGTCGTTGGTCTGGCCTTCGCATTTTGGGCTGCCAACACTGACTTCTCCATCGACATCGTTTCTCATTCTTCTCTCACACTCTTCCTCATCTCGGTACTTTCAATTCGTTTTTTCTTTTTTTTCTGTAAAATTTTCGTTCACTTTTTCTTTGTTTCTTTCACATTTTCTCATTCTATGGCATCGTTTAGATTGTAGAGCTCCCGATCGTGATCCTTCTATACAGTCGATATCGACAAAATCCCCAACAATGCTCGGTAATTCGTGCTCCTTAATTTCTCAGAAACCGAGTAATTCTCCGATTTCTGGGGATATTCTAAGTTTTAATGTTGTTTTCTTGCGATTTCTATTCTTTGCAGTACCTAAGAGCTGTTGGAAGAGGTGTTCTTGGGGTGCCTGTAGGTGAGTCTAAACTTCTTTTTTCCCTTTTTGATGATGCATTTTTCAATTTCAGGCTTAGTATAGTAAGTTGTTAAAGACGAGGATCAAAGTTTGTCTTGGTAAAACACTGTTTTGGTCCTTGAAATTGAAATTCTATACCACAGTCTCTCAAATTAAGCACACTCAAATGAGACTTGAAAATATTAAATAAATCTCTAATTCTTACACATATAAGGTAATATTTCTTACGAGTCACAACATTTTTAATAATGGACAAAAGTGATTTGCAGATTACACTTTCAGGGACTCAAATGGCGTTTTAGCCTAAGTTAATTTTACTAATAAATCTTCTTCATGAAAATTTGTTTTTATTCATTCTAATATTTATATTTTATTCTGCAGGGGCATTGTTGAATTTTTTAGGAGCTATCGCTTTGGGGGCGCCTGTTAAATTTCAGTATGTTAAAGTAGTTACATCACAGTACAGTGTTTTTTTTTGTAACATAAGGTCGTTGTTGATGAGAAAAAGGATTAATTGTAATTACTATTGTTCCTTTAAAGCGAGACAAGTTGTGTTATCTTTAATTTGTTGCCTCTTCTATTATGTAATTAAAAATAGCTTTTCATTTTTTATTTTGAAGATCACCACAAATAACCGGAGCATGTTTTGACTTTGCAATTTTACTTGAGACAGGTATCTTCCAAAGACTATAAATTGGGCTCTCATGATGTCGGTATTCACGGTAAGTGACTATTTCATTTCTGTTCTGTAGCAATTACAGCTTCTGGGAGATTGTTTTGATGTTTTTAATTGGACATGTGATAAGCACCCAAAAATTTTGGGGGAGCCAGTCTTTAAAACTAGCCATTAAGGAAGGAAGAACCAAACACTTAAATACTCCACCAAACATATCATACTACTCGATATAGGACTTAGACACTCAATAGTATCAAAGTTCCTATCAATTTGTCTCATATATTATTCTGCCCTTTTTTTCTTCGTGATACTTTGCATTTTGTCTGGATATTCTTTTCTTTTTTTGATAGGAATGAGAAGAGATGGAGATTTTATGAGAGAAGGAAGAGAATTACTTAGTTAAATAACCTAACTGCATATCATCCGGAGTCAGACGGACAAACGGAGGTTTTAAACCGTGTATTGGAGGGATATCTTTAGTGTTTTTGTTCGGAACAACTGAAAGGATAGATGACAGTTTTACCCTGGGCTGAGTATTGGTACAATACTAGCTATCAGGGAGCAATCAGGAGGGAGCAATCAGGTGCACCCTGTTTGAGACGGTTTATGGGCGGCCACCTCCATCCTTTCAAAGATTTATACTTGGAGAGTCACTGGTGGAAGCGGTGAGCCAAGAGTTGCAGACCCAAGATGAGGCTTTGAGACCGATGAAGTTCCATTTAGAGAGGGCACAGGAGTTAATGGTAAAACAAGCCAACAAGGGAAGGCGGCCGGCGAATGTTGAAGTAGGTGACTGGGTCTACTTGAAGATAAGACCCCATCGACAATCTTCCATGCCCACCAGACTTCACCCGAAGTTAGCGGCCAGGTATTTTGGACCGTTTCAGTTGATTCAGCAAGTGGGAGAGGTAGCCTATAAGCTTCAATTACCCGAGACAGCACACATCCATCCTGTCTTTCATGTCTCACAATTAAAGAAGGCAATAGGAGAACAGAGAGTGGAGAAGGAATTGCCTCCAGAGTTGCAGGCCGATGGACCATCATTTTGGGCGGTGAGGGTTCTGGGAAGGAGATTGACACAGAAAGGGGAAGAGGAAGTGCCACAACTGTTGATAGAATGGCAGGAAGGAGGACAAGACGGGGCAACATGGGAAGAGGAAGTTGCTATTCGGGAACAGTACCCCGATTTCAACCTTGGGGGCAAGGTTGAACTTCAGGCAGAGGGCAATGATAGGAATGAGAAGAGATGCAGAGTTTATGAGAGAAGGAAGAGAATTACTTAGTTAAATAACCTAACTGCTTATTACAGTTAGGAAGGGCGGGAATAACGGTTGTATAAATAGTTGGGTGTTTAGGAAGAGAAGGACTTTTGGTAGTTGATTGATTAACAGGCTTTGTCTTGTGAAAGGGGTTAAGCCCTTGTTTCTGTAAGTGTACAGAGAATTCTTTTGTGAATAATACACAGAATTGTTTCCATTCTTGTTTTCTTTCTATTCTGAGAGGTGAACTAGAGGGTTCTTGATTAGGTTTCTTAATCAGAAACCTATCATTTTTACTGTTTGAACAGTGGCGCCGGCGGACGGACCGGAAAGAAGCGACGTGTCGCGTCTGGTGTGGAGGCTTCGGAGGAAGAGACCACCAGGGTTGGTTGCGCTTCTCAAGGCGCACCTAACCCTTGACTTCGCCGGAGGCGGTGACAGCGACGAACAGAAGAGCGAACAACAAAAATGACAGAGAGATGATGTCGTCGACGATAGACGAAGAAGACACAAGGGTCTGGCTCTTGATACCAACTTGAAGTTGAGAGAAAATGAAAAGTCTTATATTTTGATTAAGCAAGTCTGATACAACTTACTACTGTATTTATAGAAGACAGTAGTTCTGAAATGTGTCCACTTCGTGAAGTGTAATGCAATAAGCTGAATCGGGTGTAACAAAATTGAATCGTGTGAATCAATACAATCCAATTCCGATTCATGTCACAATTCAGCATAAAACGAGTCACATTCCGATATTTATCATGGTAGAAGAATTTTGAACCGAAATCGCGATACGTATTGCGATTCATATGATTCTAACTATATGAAAGTACGGCAGGTTCTCCTATGGACAGAAGCTTTTCTACAAGATCTTGTATTTTCATTGGAGGAAATATTATGTCTTGGAAAAGCAAGAAACAAAATGTTGTCATCCGCTCTACAGTTGAACTTGAGTATAGTGTGATTGGCATCTCGTCTTTGTAACCTTGTATGAACAAATGAAGATGTATTATGTAATCAAGTTCCTCTCCAAATTGCTTCAAATCTAGTATTCCAGGAGAAGACTAAACACATAGAAATCGATTATCATTTTATTTAGGAAAAGAGGTTGTCCAAAGAAATATGTACTAGGATTGAATTTATTTGTTCGAAGGTTGGGACATACAATTTCTATGCTCTTGCTTAAGGAGAGAGTGTTAGAAAAGGTCATATTAAATATCGAGTTTATTGAAAAGTGTTATATGTGCTTTATGCTACCTATGCCTTAGGTTCTAGATATGACCTTTTTTGTCTTACAAATTTTCCTCTCATCCATTGTATCTAACACTAGCAATATCCAATACAAATTTGAGAACCCTAATAAAAGGGGGAATCAAGCTCTCTAATTCATTTTCTAGTTCTTCAAATTCCTATCATAGCATCCGTTCAACAAGTCGTCTTCTCAAGACTTTTACACTATAACACTTTACTCAATGACACTTTCACTTGTTAGAACCCTATGTGGGTATCTCTTTCCAAGAAACTAACAACTAGATGTGGCACCACCAATTAATTCACACCCAAGCACATTGGGTCTATCTTCAAAAGCTAACTACTAAGGGAAAACCAAACAATAATACTGCACTGAGTATTTTATAGTATTTATTGGATTGGCATTCCATGATACCCAAATCCCTATAAATAAACAAAACCAAACAGAAAAACAAATGATTTTGACTCAATATCTTAAATTACAATATCCCATTCTAGTTTAAGTATATTTAACCTCTCGCAATAGTTATAAACAGACCAAAAAAGAATATCTCAAAGGGCGTTGACAGTTGTTGTCTCTCATGCTAATGAAAATTTTTCCACTCCCAAAACAAACCTTGAAGCAATGTTGTCAAAATCATCATATACCATAATTTAGTCATATCCCAAATTGATATGGGATCTCCAACATATCTACTCAAGTTGAAGACTAGACATCTCAAGTGTGGGACTATATATTTGGGAGTGGTTCAACAACATGATAACGATTGACGATAGACCAATAGATCTACTACGGCTAGCTCTGATACCATCATAGAAAACGAACTTTAAATTTCCAACTCAATGTCACAAAAACTGACTACAAGACACCCACCAACATTTTATAAGTGGATCATAGCTTTAGCCGATATGGGATCTCCAATAAAGTACAAACTGGATAAAATGTTAATACTTATAGTAAAAACAAGTGAAGAGGTGAAGAGGTATGTGCATAGAGGCTTTTGAAATAACATGAATTTGGTAGAAATTGGTCTTCCTATTTGCTTCACAAAATTGTTGTCCAAAATGAAATTTACAAGACAAAAGCACTATACAAAGAAATCAATTACCTGCCCATGGCCTCTCCCAGTCAAGTGGCATTGGCCAAGCCCCAAACCAAGCCCCAATAACTGCTCCATGAGCTGGTAAACAAATCAAGTACTCTATAGATCCATTTGGCCTAAAAATATCATAAGAATAACAATAATGTAACTAAAAGTAAATAATTGAAGGACCAAATAAACCCAACACTATAAAAAAAGTATTCAACATACAACATTAAATATATTCATCAAAATCCCAATAAAGAAACTTCATACGAACAAACATGTTATGAATAAGAAATTATTAGCCAAAAGAAACCTACTTTGTTTGAGCAAATATACGTCTCCAATCAGCCCATGATGAACCAAGAACACATGATGCTGGAACTGTCTGAAATAACAATCAAAATATGAATTTATAAGTACACATAAACATGGGACCACACCCTTTAAAACCTGTTCACTACCCACCAAAAGTTTGTAATTTGCAATTCATTACCCGAACAAGGAGAGGACTAAATAAGTAACCTTTGAAAACTAATTTCAAAACTTGAAAATATAAATTTAGTGGGTCATAATAATTGAAATGGTGTTTGTGTTAAGAATGGTGACAAGACCAAAATGAAGTGGAAATGACCTTACAGGTCTATTATAGGAGGAACATAGAGGTTAAAATGTAGTTAGTTGTAACTGTCAAGAAAAAAATACAAGTCGGCCATTACAAGAGCAGTGTTTATCAAATTTCAGCCTGGCGGAACTGGTGACAGCTTCCCAACAAGGTGGTGGTCGAACTGGTTTTCCATGACGACTTTTTGCATGGCTGCTGGCGGTGGATTATGTGATTGATTTTAAAGCCTTCTTCAACTGGATAAAGAGATAAGCAGCAGCAAGTGGAAGAGAAAATGCAGCAGCAGCTGGGAGAAGAGGCTAGGAGAAGACTGATAACGGATTTGTGGGTGGCCGATATTTTTTGATATCTGATATTGCTAACATTGATAAGACGCAAATTTATTCTCATAATTTGGCCATTCCGCACCCAAGTTTGATCATGCCAAACAAGAAACTTTTGGTTGTCTAAATATAAGCTAAATAGTGAAAACAAGTATTAGACAAAAACAAAAGACAGTATTAGATCATGAACAAAGAACAAGTTGTTGACAAGATGCAAGTCAACCTTAAGTAAAACCACAAGATCACAGACTGCACAATAGACACATGTTAAACAAGGACAAGGGAGTGACACTAATGCATCAACGTAAGAAGTGCTAATTGCCTATGTTTACAACTAGACGTCCATGCCATCAAAGACATATTGCTCTACTAGAAGATCAAATCAGTCAAAGCCACCTTTACAGAAAAATATACCAAAAGGACATGAAATGTCGTCACCTCCCCCCCCCTAAACCCATTACATGTTCAAAAATAGACATAGCAAGCCATTACATGATGCTACGCTAGTGTTAAAGTAAAAAATTAGATTCTTAAAAAGCACAAAGCAAAAAAATTGATCTTTCCAAGTCAAGAGAAATAGACACCTTCCAAGTATCTTGTACTAGACCCATCTTTATGTTGTCACACCG